TGGACGGGCGCTGCCGTGCGAGCCGCCGGACAGGACTGGGACTCGCGGCCTGGGCGGGGGCTGCGCCGCTGGTTCTGTCAGGCGGGGCTGCCCGGCGGAGCGGGCAAGGTGTTAAACTCCGCTCTCCCGGGCTGTGGCAGTAACTCCTGAGATGCTGCCCCTTGACCCGGCTGGTAGGAACTGCCCTTCCCTCTCCTGCCTGGCAGGAGTGAGGTAGCGTGCAGGAGTAGTCAGGCGTCGGGGACTTAGAAGACTGTTAGAGTTAATCGATTTAACTAGCTTTTAACTGATGCTTTAGGTTACTGTCTTCAACGTTAACCTATGCTATGTAAAAATAAGAACACGTCTTCCATGAAACTCTTGCAAAATGTAATTTAATGTTGTGATCATTTTAAGTCCTGCAACGCACGTGTTATTTGCCTCTTGCCTTCCGCTCATATATTTCTCATAATCCTTTCCTTTCAGGATCATGTACCATGGGTGAACCTATGTCCGAATCCGAGTTCGCAGCCTTGGCTTTTTACGCTGGTGATAAATCTTGCTGTGAATTGGTAAGTAGGTTTGAAACTAAATGAAAAACTTGCAAGATGTTCCAGTGGTGTTTATACCGAGATCTGATCTACAGAGTAATTGCTAGTGTTGATTAATTCGAACCGATGCAAAGGTACCTTATACCACTGTATGTTATTCACTTGCAAAAGTACTATATATATACAATATATATATTGGGGTAGAGCACAGAGACTGTGTATCCTCTATCAGGCAAGTTTTACTGAATGCATTGTTGTGGTTTAACCCCAACCGGCAACTGAGCACCACACAGCTGCTTGCTCACTCCCCCCTGGTGGGATGAGGGAACCTGGTGGAATGGGGAAAAGAATCAGAAGGGTAAAAGTGCAAAAACTCATGGGTTAAGATAAAGACAGTTTAATAGATAAAGCAAAAGCTGCGCGTGCAAGCAAAGCAAAACAAGGAATTCATTCACTCCTTCCCATGGGCAGGCAGGTGTTCAACCATCTCCAGGAAAGCAGGGCTCCATCACGCGTAACGGTTACTTGGGAAGACAAACACCATCACTTTGAACGTCCCCCCGTTCCTCCTTCTTCCCCCAGCTTTATATGCTGAGCATGACGTCATGTGGTGTGGAATATCCCTTTGGTCAGCTGGGGTCAGCTGTCCTGGCTGTGTCCCCTCCCAACTTCTTGTGCACCCCCAGCCTACTTGCTGGTGGGGTGGGGTGAGGAGCAGAAAAGGCCTTGACTCTGTGTAAGCGCTGCTCAGCAGTAACAAAAACATCCCTGTGTTGCCAACACTGTTTCCAGTACAAATCCAAAACATAATCTCATATGAGCTACTATGAATAAAACTAACTATCCCAGCACATGCATATACCCAGCACATGCATATACAGCTATGTAAAACTAGACAGTGGCACATAGGTCCTGTTAGCAGAACTTGACCAATCTGTTGGCTGTGTATCCAGGCTGTACTTGGGATGATATACCTCATGAGTACTTGGGATGATATACCTCAGAGTGACAGATTCAGTTCCTTTAATTGCAAAGCAATTGCAACTTAGTTGATCTAAGTTCAGTCCTGCAAATTGACTGCAGCGTTTACCCATTCTTTGTTCTTGTCGTCTCTTTCAGTTTTTTCTAGTTCTTTGTGCCCAATAAGGCCTCTGCTTATTTAGTTGTTTCTTTTATTGCATACTGTAGCACTCTTATGTTTTAATACTTCCAGTAATGCTTTCCTTGATTTTTATTTTCCCCTTCTTGCTATGCTTAAGAAGTCTTAGAAAACACTGTAGTGGTTAATCTTTCGGATGCTTGGAGAGGTCAGTTATGAGTTACTTATCCTAAGTGTTGCTGCTGTGAAATACAAACTGGCTGGCCTACTATTCTTCCTATGCAGAAATAAAAAGTACAGGTGAATTGAATTTCTTACTTGTAAAGCTGTATCTTTACAAGGGACTGTTGCCAGTAGAGTAGTGATTCTCACTGGAAATTGTTCATATCAATAAAGATATATTTTTTTTTTGGTGCTGTGGACAAAATAAAGTACTTTAACAGTTGTGTCAGCGTAAGATGCTAGACATTTTATCTCTTAAGGTGATATGTGTGCTGTGCTATGGAAGGAAAGCCCTTGATTCTGTGCAAGTGCTAAATCTTGGTTTTCAAGTTTGCTTTGGTGGGAATACCACCTTGGGCTTGATGTATAGATGGTATGTGGGGGGTGTGTGTGTGTGGTTTGTTTTGTTTTTAAATATTGTAGCAAAATCCACTCTGTGGAGTGAAGGAGACGTTCAGTCATTTTTCAAGATTAACTGATTTTGAAATAACAGTTAATTTTTTCCCCTCTTTGTTATTGAGTGTCCTGGTCTGTTAAATATGTTGATGTTATAATTTATTTTTGAGAGTAAGCCTTGATTTCAATGTAATGTTGTAATAGTTCAGAAATGCTACTTAGGGTGAAATCACATGGTTGCTTGTCATCAACACCTTAGGTCAAGTTAGTAAGTCATCATTGCACAGCATGCAAGTCTGCCACTGAAAGAATAAAAGTCTGTTAAAGAAACTTTATGAAAGATGTGTTTGGTAATTTGTTTTTAAACTGTTCTCCGGTCATACTCAGAAATAGCTTTGTGTTTCTTTGAAATGATTACGGGGCAATACATAGACATGATATGTAGTATTTATGAAATGACATATATAATGTTTGTTAAAATAATAGATTCTGTAGGGATCTGTAAAACAGAACAAAGTCAATTATTCTTCAGCTTGAGAGGCTCATATGGAGTACTATGTTTTAAACCCATTAAAGTATTGATACAGTATGCTGCCATGAAGTAGTAAATCAACTACTCACTCCACTTATTTTTATATATATGTATTTATTTAAATATACATGCACTAACTGTCAAAACTTAATTATTAATTTTTGAAAACCTGTGTTGCTTTCTTAAACATGTTTCCTTAGGTATTCTTGAACATTATATTGCTGCCTAGTACCTGATTTTGAATTATTAATCTTTAGAATACTGTTCTAGTGTGATTTAATATATTGTTTAAACTAGTAAAAGTTTTCCCATACATTCATAACTATTAATCTATGGACTTTTTTAAAATGGATATGCAGGTACATTTTTTTTCGTAAGACAGCAACTAAGCCATTGTGTTAAATAACTCTAGTAAACATGCTTTTTTCCCCCGTTTGTTTTTGTTTGCTTTGTTTGCTTTTTGGCTGTGCTTAATGTGAATTATAAAGATTGGATCCAGAGGAGTTTATCGTTTGGTAGTGCAAAATATTGCAGACTTTAAGTTTCCTTGTTTTCCTCAGGAAACTGTTGGCAGAAGTGTAGAAACGTGGGAGAGTGGGGAATACCAATAGTATTTTATTCTTGGGGAAATGGGATGGGGGTAAAAAAAGCATGGGATATTCACCCGCCTCAGATTGGTCTTAGAAGATAACGAGATGCTAGTGAGCATTGAATGAGCATTATTAACATTTTATAAAGCTTCTGTTCAGAATGAGTAGGTACATAGAAATAATTTTCCTGTCTAGGTCCATGGTGTATGCATGAGTGTTTCAGTTAATTACTAAATAATTATAGTTGATAATAGTTAACTAAATAATTTTAGTTAATTATTAATTAATTTTGTTAATTAATGTGTCCGCATTAGTATTTTAGTTTGGATCAGGAGAATGCTTTTGAAGCAAATATCCCAATTGTCCCTGTCTTTCATGTTTTGGCTTATGTTGTGAAGAGGTCTTGTAGTGTGCTAGTGGGATTCGTTGGGGATGAAACTAATCTAGAAGGTGCTTTTAAGAGTATAGGTAATGTGCATCAACCATGAACGGGTGCGCTGTCAATGCGACTAGGTTTGAACCAATGCAAACTAAAACCCCTTGACGAGCGTATAATGTGAGAGTAGGCTGCTCAGTACCGAATACTTTGCTTTATAGATTTGTTTCCTATTTGATCATGCTGCTTGCTTATGAAGATGCAGCCATAGACCATCTTTTATACTGGTCTAAATATGTTTAATAATTACCTTTTCTTGAGAAAAGGAATTGGTGACAGAATGTAAAAATAACTTTCATTCCTTCCTTCCCCTGATGTAAACAGTTTATATTGGTTTAATATTTAGAAACAGTTAAGCAATCATTACTTATAGTTAGTGTAACACATTTGCAAGATATGCAATGTTGAAAAATATGTTTATCTTTAGGGTCATGGAGTGTTTGTACAGCAATCGCCGCATAAGCCTAAAACAGGTATGTAAACTAAAGCAATATTACATAACTTTCGAATGCACTTTTTGTGCTGTGTTTGGATCTTTTGATTGGTTTTTCACTTTTTTCCTTATTTTGTCTGAATAAGTAGAAAATTATTATTTCTGAGCCAAAGCATTGTTATGTTCTTCTACACTGGAAGAAGTCTCATCTTTTTGTCCTAATGTAATGTGCAGAAGGCTGCTATACATTTGTGAGAACAGTGTAAATAGTCAATAATATGTACATATATGCAGTCAATTGATGTTATGAGGATGGAGATTTAAGGCTTGTGTTCATTACCTGTGTTTTAATTGTAGCTATTCTTTAGCTGTATAGGTCTAAAGACACCTTCAAGTTGATCTTTGTAGGTAAAGTTTTGCAGTTACAATATTTAAAAAAAATTTTTTTAATAGTTGCAGAAAAGCAGGTGGCTCAAGAGTACGTCAAGTTCTTCAAAACTGTATTCACTATACAGATGGTAACCTGTAATATGCAGGAAACTCATATGCATGAACGCAGCCAGCTGTGTAAAATGAATTTTTGCATATATTCAGACTCTCAGATAATACTGCTTCTGCTCTGAGAGTACTTGATGCCACTTCAATAGTCTAATAAGGATCTTTACCTTTTCTGTCAGAGACTGTCTTTAAATGGATTATATTTTTGAAAGAGCCGTGCATCACGTGCATAATGGCCTCTGGAGAAAAAAGACGACTATTGCTGATCTTTTTGTACCATGGTGCTATGTGCCATGCTACTCTGGATTTATTGTATAAAATAATTAAATGGGTACAGTTAGAAGAGGCTCATGTTTCATCTTGAAAATAGCATCTCTTATGGCCATTAAACAGCTCACGACCCTTGTTAGACTCCTCATTTAGAAGGAGGCTGCATTTATTCATTTATAATATATTATATCGATAAAACTCAGAACACAGGCAATTCCTTGAGCAAGGAATGTAAAGCCTGCCAGCAGGTCCCTATTCTTACCTCCATATAAATTCCCTCTCCCCCTTCAATTTATAAAAAACCCTCAAGTTGCTAGATGTATTTAGAGTGTTCAAGTTTCCTTGTTTTTGTTAGATAGTACTTAGAAATACCGTATGGAAATAACTGACGTTTTTGAATGTTTATTTGGACTTTGATTACTTGTAATGTCTGAATTGTGTACTCTAATTCCTAACTGTTTTCTTGAAGATGTTGATCCCTGTGAAGTGTGGTGCAGTCAGCCGGTTGACGTATTAAGAGAATATTGCAACATTATTAAAATACGCATCTTTTGGCCTCTTCTCTTCAGAAGTGAAAGTAATTCTTTGGTAGCTGATTGGAGGTAAGTAATCACGTTCTCAAAGTGATTTCATCAGCCTTTACTTTTTTTTTTTTTGTTACTGTGAAAGATTGCTGTATACTTTCAGTAGTGGATAAACTGTCTGCAGGAATGTTTTTACCGGTGGGCTAAGTTAGTAAAGGTCAGAAGGCATAGTTCTTGACTATACAGAAGAAAATATTAATAATGGGTTTCTGAAGTTTGGAATCTAAGAATGTATTTAAGTACTTAGATGGATGCTCTTTATTTCAAAAGTACCAAAAGCTTTGCAGCCTTTTTTTTTTTTCTTTTTTTTTCCCTCTCCTCTGAAGGGCTTGATTTGAGTTTTGAGATGCTCTTGCTTAGATCTAATTACCGTAAATATTAGTAATTAAGACCATGTAACACAGTGTATTTTTCTAAATAATAACTTGTTCTGGTTTTAAGCAGTTCACAGATTTTAGACCGGAATTGGAAGAGACTCTGTGATTTAGAGGTTTTGGAAGACCTTGTTGATTTAATTAAAAAAGTTGTTGTAAGTACTATATTTTAACTTCGTGTAAGTTTTCAAGTATAATAGGTTGATTAAATCTGTACTTTATGCAGCTTGGGATTATGTCTTAAATTAGACATTTCCTTTTGCTGGAGTGAATAAATTGTCTGATAGTTGAATTGCAGCTTTCTAGAAAGAAAGTGTGTCATAGGCTTTATTACAGTTGGGATAACTTACTAAATATTTGCAGAGTCAATAATACAGTTGACTGGGGCCCTTGTAAATTGCAAAGAAAGAGTCATATCAGTGAGAAAAAGGGCACCATTCCCGGATGAACAAGTTAAATACTTTTTTTTTCCCCCTCAGTTGTTTTTTCCTCAGCAACAAATGATATTTAAAATTTGCTATTGTTGCTGACTTAAAATAGAAACATAACAGTGCAGAGGAGAGAATGATATAAGAAATGTTCTCAGGAACTGAAGGGAAGATATTTATTTATTTATTTATTTTAAATTTAGGTATGACACGTTTTTAAAAAAATTTGTTTGTTGAAATTCTGTGCTGTTGTGGTTTAACCCCAGCCAGCAACTGAGCACCACACAGCCGCTCGCTCACCCTCCCTCCCAGTGAGAAGGGGGAGAGAATCAGAAGAGTAAAAGTAAGAAAAGTCATTGGTTGAGATAGGAACAGTACATAAACTGGGGGAAGCTGGCCAGCTTCCAATTTTATGATTGAAATAACATAAAATAATGTTACTAATAATATTGTATGAAAAGGAAAACAACAAAGAGAGAGAAGCAAAACCCTGGGAAAAGAAGT